GGGTGATGCCCTTCAGAATTAGGATCTAGGAGACCAGCTATGGCCCAGGGAAACAGGCTCCACTCTCACTTGGATGTCCTCCAGCCATCTTCTCACTACTGCCCACTTACAGGAAAGCTCAGAGGCTGTCAGCCATGGCACAGCTTATATACCACGGATTCAGGGAAACAGGAGTTGGCTTGATACCCTAGGATACCCTGAGCCATGTGTCCAACTGGGCTGGCTCTCTGATTAACATATACTTGCCAGATTACTGCAAGGAATAAGACCCATTAGTGACCTGCTTACCGCTGGGACCCTGTTGTTGTTTGCCTTTTAGCAGCTATGAGAGAGTGGGTAGGTTCAGTGGTTCCCAAGTCAGGGAAGTCCTGCACCCCTCTGCCCCCTCCTCTTTGCCAAGAGATGCCTAACATTATCTGGAGACATTTTTATTTGTCACAATGGAGCAGGCACTACTGTCATTGCGTGTGCAGAAACCAGGGAGGCTGCAAGATAACTTACAATGCACAGGATGGTCATGACAAAAATCTACCCTACTCAAAATGTTGATAGCAATAAAGTTGAGATGCCATGGGCTAGATGGTTTCTTCCATTATAAAAAAAAAACTCTCAGCACCACTCCTGTGCCAATGCAGACAGGCAGGACACTGCAGCCTCTTTTTGTCTCTCCGACACCCTAATCAGACCTGTTGTCTGTGAGCAATGGCTCCTTCCAGTGTGAAGACACAGAGAGTGAGGCTGACGTGCAGGCTGCTATGGGATGACAGTGATGGTGCCATTGAGTTCTCTGGGAACTCAATGATAGGCCCAACTATAAGCCATTTGCCTAACACGGGGAAAAGCTATCCTGTGCACACCCAGCCCCTAAAACTATGCTAAATCCTTCCCAGATTTCCAGGCCAGAAACAGAATCACTTCCAGATTGGCGCCTTCTCTAACCCTTCCAAATCACATAAGGCTCACGTTACACAAAAAGTCAGCAGTGCCAGTTGCAAGGCTTTCACCGCAACCCGGGACTGTTCTATGTGAGGACGATGTCACTGTCATGGAGAGCAGGTATGTGGGAGGGGGCTGAGATTTACACAGTGATGGGCAGTGACAGCAACACTACTTCCCACATCTTTGGCAAGTGCCTGGGTAACAGCAGAGCTAACGTGCTCTAAAAGAGATGAGATGCCCACGCAGCTGCCATGATTCAGTAGAAAGACCATTCTGCTTTTATTATGACCCCCTGTGGTCCCAAGACTGTGACTTAAGACTTTCAAGAATTACTAGATTAGAAACCGTCAGACTTTCCACAGTAGTTACCAACTGGCCACAGGTGCAGTGTACTGTGATTAACGCAGCGAAATACACAGGTCACTACAGGTAGTATGACACAGGAGCCTTATCTATGTCCAGGTCTGGTGACCACGAACAGGGCTCATCCAGGAAGCTAGCCAGTCACTGTGTGGTTCCATGCCGCAGGGGTCAGTCTCTTCCCACGACAACGGCCACACTTGTTTTGTCACTTCTCCTGGAATTTGTCAGGGGCACATGTCTTACCCGCCAGTTTAAGCCAAGTTCCTTCTTTGGACTCTGTGAGGTCAGAATATAGCGATCACTTTATGTAAACATGGGCTCCCATGGTTAAATAATTGGAAAGGCTCCCTGTACAATCTGTGGTCCAGCAAATCATAAATGGTTGACCTCCAAGCACGCAGAGCAATGCCTGGGAATGGGCTGTCTTCTCCACCAACTCCACCAATTGAGAAAATCAGGTTATCAAGACAAGGAGAGCTTAGCTTGGCTCTTGGGAGTGAGCAGCATTCAAAGCCCACTCAGGTTCAGTAGACAGCATTCCCACATGCATCTCTGGAGGACACAAAGCCATTGTGTGCAAGGCCAAATTCATTACCTAAGAGAAAACATTTGAGGCCAGGAGTGCCCTTCCAGGCAAGAGGGAAAACAAACAATTCAGCAAGACTGAAGTCCAGGAAGAGCCTGACGAGTTTCGCTGCTGAACTCAGAGCATACTGCTTGGTATTATATCGATTATTTGATAACCACAGTCAGCAATGATGGATGACATTAAAATCCACTCATAACATCTCGAGAACATAAGACATTCTGTCCATCGATCGTATCTCCATGGAGGGCAGCACTTAGCCAAGAGATGTGCTCATTTATGTTGGAGAGATTCCAGCGTACCCGGGGTATTGGTGGGTTGTAAATAATATTGTCGAAGTGTTCCTCAAAGGGATGCACAGAGAATGTGTCTCAGAAGCAATGATTTCTCAGACCTTGACCTTCTGTCCTTGCCAGGTAACATTAACCCTCTCTGAACCCTCTCTGAGCCGTGTCTCTCCCCATTCTATTTACAAAACCAGCAAATCAAAATGAATTTAATTTGCAAGACATTTAAGAATATCGAAACAACTTCTGTAAGAACTGAAGGCGTTCATTACTAGCTCAGAGGTGGACCTGTGATTTCAAGTACCAGATTTACCTCCTGTGCCTCTAAACCCTTAATCCACTTTGCTTCACACTTGGTTAGCATTTCCAGGGCTCCGATGCTCTAAGGCTGGTGGAAGGTGCAGCAGCAGAAAAGATCAACTGCTCCCACTTTGTGCCAGCCTAGCATGATTCCTTTGGGGTGAGGGGAATGAAACCCCTCTGTGCTCAGGAGAGCAACCATTTTCACAGGGCTCCCAAGACCAGAGGCAGATATAAACCATTTCCTTGCCATTCAGAGGAAGACCCTTGGTCCCTTTCAGCGCTGGTGAGCCATGGGACCTGTGCTCCACATGACAACACCCCTGTTTCTGTCACAAGGATATGGCATAAAGTGACTTAGCAATTGCATGGGATGTCAGGAGATACGCTGAATCCACTCAATGTTTAGAGTTTTTTTTAAAAACAGATATTGAGAGGAGTCTAACCCATAGCTTGCAGATATTTGATTTTAAGTATTCCTTAGAGAATAATAAAAGAAAAAGAAAAATTCCAACATGGGTAATAGTGAAGACCCAGTGTCAAGCCAAGACATTCTGGAGGTGCTGGATTCCTTGTGTCTGAATTGCTGGTGGGAAGCCTTCCTGAGCCCAGTGAGCAACAGAGTAGAGTCCTACACCTTCCCTCCCAAACGAGCTCTGGAATTTTCCATTTTCTAGGTTCAGATTTGTCTCAGGAGGAGGCTGGATGGGAGGCCTCATTACAGAAGAGAAAGAAGTCACAGCCTAATGAGTGACTTCCACCTGGGCACTGGCCTCCCGTGGCCTCCTGTCCACAGAGGGAACCTGCAGGGCCTCTGGTCAGGATCAGCACAGCAAGTGCTTCGCCATGGTAACTTTGAAGGAAAATGAGTGAAGCCCCACTCCTTCTTGGAGTGGCACTGAAGCAGCTTGATAGCTGGCTGAGCCAGCTTCCTCTGCAGGCCTTTGGACACTCTCTATGGAGGTGTTTGATTCTCTGACTCAGGAAACAAGCTTTGAAGGTAGCAGTCAAAACTGCTGCAAAAGCTGAGCCCCTACTAAGTCCACTGTGATATACTTTGATGGGTGGGCTTTGGGGTAAAAGTTAAAGTGAACGGGGCTAAAAAGGTACAAGTTTATAGGTGTGTATACGCTAGAAGAGTTAATCTTCAGGGACCCTGCCTGGTTCAGGAAGAAAGCAGTGAAACCAGGCAAGAGGTTGGAATGGATCATGCTCCCCTACAAAGTGAGACGCTGACCCTGCCTGCCCCCCATTCCCCATGCTGTCAGAGTTACAGGGGAAACAGTGGTGATGCTATGGCCTTTGTTGAACTCCCAAGGTCTGATCTGGAGTTTTAAGGGTTTCTTTGTTAATTCAGTGTGCTCATGTGTAAAGCTCAGATTTTTTCTAAGTCTTGTGGTATGAGAAACACTTGCCTCTCCTTCAGAATAACTCTTGAAAATGCTTATTGCAGTGAGCTGGAAAAAATCCCAAGGGAGCTCCAGGGTAGGACAAGAACGTGAACTATGGTTGATAAGAAAAGCTATTGATGTGTTTTCACATACTTCCTTCATCCAGAAACTGCCCAGCTAATACCAGGGCCACCAACTGTCAGGCATACTTCCAAAAATACTACCGTTAGGACTTCAGCAAATAGATTAAGAGAAACGGAATGATTTTCTGCAAACCAGAACTTGCTGAATCTCACAGATGTGTATCTGTGACCCATAAAACGTGTGGCATGTCAAGGAGAGAGATGGAAGTTGACACACGGGCTGAAATACACCTTGGGACAGGAAAGCAGGGAATGGTCCACGAGCACACTGCCCTCTGCAGGTTGCAGCCAGTTATGCACCTGCACTTCCTGATTCCCTCCCTGCACACCTGATTTCCATGGTGACTCACACAGCATCCACAGGCTGCTCAGCCCAGTGGATAGAAACCAGACAGGCACCCCCTCCAGCTAAGATACAGCCTGCCTGCCAGGGATACTGTCTTTATCTGAATCTGGGATTCTTGAATGAAAGGGAGGAGAGGCTGCTCAGAGATAATAAAGACTACATTTGGGAGACGATAAATACTTACCAGGTTTATAAATAAGTCTAGACAAGTGTATGATAAATGAAAATTGTTTAAAAATACTAATTTGAATAGAGGGCTCTGAAGTTGAATAGACGCTATTTTTTTTTTCAGAAAAATACTAAATTTACTTCTTTATCTATCAATTCCAAAAAGAATGTTGGGAGTCAACCCATTTTCTGCCAGTACACTTGTTCCTCCAGAGTTAAGAAATAGAAAGGAATCCAAATCTTTTTTCTACATTCATTGATAATTGATTATAATAATTATAATCTCTGGAGAACAGCTAGTATAATAAGGTGAGGCTGGCTTTTGCTTCACTTGTGTTGCTCAGGGGAAATGATGAAAACAATGATAAGTCTTTACCATGACTGAATGATCATTCAGCTGTTGTTCATGCACTAGGTTCTAAGGCTTTCCATGTGAGCCAATGCAAGAAGAAGTGTAAGGTAAAGTTCGCTGCTTACCTTTTGTCCCTTCACTCCATGGCAGTCACATTTTCCACAACCAGAGCTGTCACAACCACCACCCTGCAAGGAAAGAAAACATGTGTAAGTAGGAGGACACGTTCAAAATGAGACCCAGATTTGTGTTAACACAGCTTCAACATCTTCATGAAGCTCTGCCCGTTACCCTGAGCATGATCAGTGACACCAGGTTCCTGCAGGTGACCCCATCAGGGCCAACACACTTCCTACGGTGCATCTCTCTTACCAAACAGACAGAACCACAGTCCTTAAAACATGACAAATCAAAACCTTACTCAGTAGAGAAAGAGAAGAATGTCACCTATACTGTCCTTTGTCCATTTCCATTGGAAATGAACTCAACTCAACCATTCGTGTTTGCAAGACTATGAAAATGTCATACTTCTGAGTATGACATTTAGGAATTTCAGCCCAAAATCACAGGAGACCAAGGATTCACCGAGGTGGTCTCCATGCTTTCCCTCTCATGTTCCCAGGGACTTAAAGTCATGTCAAAAACATTGGGCAGAGACAGAGTAAATGAATGAGCCAATTTTTAGGGCCAAATCTTAAAGAAATGATATTTCAATTAAAGCTTAAATATTCATTTAAAGAACACTCAACAAAAAGTCCTTTAGTTCATGTCTAAAAATTAATATCAAAATGTATGGAAAGAAGCCAAACTTGCAATAAGAACTGGAGAGGAAGGGAACAAGCATGTGTTCAAATGCCACCAGGTGCCATACATAGTCAGCTATCATCTGCTTTAAAGAGTGTAACAATCACTTCCAGGCAGGTCCTCCCATCCACATTGCACAGGTGTGGAAGCTGAATTAGGAGATTTAACAAAACATGCTAGGACAAGGTTAAAATTGGAACCCAACTCCACTTCCCTTACGTAAAGCAGTCAACACACTAACAGATCAGGCTTCAATTTCCTTAGAGAAATCCAAATTTTAAACCATTGTAAACATGGTATTGTGGAAGGAGAGTAAAGGAGTGTGAGATGAACAATTTATTTGATCTGCTGTATGTCTGAAATAAAACTTATACTTATATTCTGCCTTGGGTGTTAATATCTTCTTGCTATTAATAGTATTGTGTTCATGCAAAGCCTGTATTTTTACCAACACACTCAGCTTTAGCTCCATCGCCATGGAAATCTCCTACATACAACAGTTACATCTGGAGATACTTATTTTATGAAGCTAAAACTGAACAAGTGCCTTCAAGACAGTAAGCTGTTCTTAATTTTATACTTTGGAAGTGGGGCGATTGACAACAGTCCAAGCAACATCTAGAGATCGGAGACCTCTTTCCTTCTCTGACTCACACGTCAGGCAATTTCAGCACCTACTCTCATAACCTCCTGACCCTTTAAATCGCTCCATGTGTTCAGCTTTGCTCTATAATCTGAGTCTTGGTGACCAGGTTAAAATCCTTAACCTGTACAGCAGGACTGTCCAAAATGCACAACGTCTTCAACAGATGCATCTGACACAGCTATCCCCATTTTGGTTCCATGATACGTTGACCAGCTGCCTCTGTTGGGAGGCTCATCACAGGTTCTCATAGTTCTTTGCTTCTGTGTCTCCCCAGGACACCCTGAACCTTTGTCCACAGCCCAAAGTCTAGCATTGAGCTGATTTAGGTTATGTTCCAGCGAAGACAGTGAAAAAAAAGATGGTAGAAATTCCACAATGGTGTTTCCTCAGTTGTTGGTAATAGCCCAATTTCAGAATTGTTCAAAACACTAACACATGGGCATCTCAGAATTGATGGACTAGCGCAGGCTGCCCCCTTCCTATTGTTTACTTGGTGGTGGTGCTGTTCATTTAGTCCACCTTAAATGACAAGTATAAATGACAATCCTGCAACAGTGTGAACTCCACTCACGTGTAAGTGTGCACAGTAGCACAAGGGGAGATGCTCCCAAAAGGAGACCCAACAAAGGGTTGCATGGCCATTGTAGGTCACCTGAGCAGCCAGGGAGAGGTGGGGACCTGGAGCTGCCTGGTAAATGCCCAGGCTCATTATGGGTTAATAAGCAGCCAATAACTAGGTTAATGTGCAAACCAGAAAAGCCCTGAAGTGAGGGAGTATGAAGTCACTCTAGGGTTCAGAGCCAACCTCCATGTGACGATACACTATCCCACGGCCTTCCAAACACATCTCCACTCCATATACTTTGCTCAACATCTTCCATCCTCACAGACATCACAGGAGTTTCCATTATCTGCAGAATCCAATTACCACCCTTAGTCTACAGAAACTCAGTCATGGCCTGAAGTACCAGGGTTTTTGTTTTTTTTTTTTTTTACTAATAACTCAATTCTAGTTTCTTGGAAATATCAGATTTGCAGAAAACAGGAGTGAACCTGACGATGGCTGTAAGGGGACTGTGGCATTTTCTCTACTGAAATACTGATACCATCTTAGAAGCTCACGCTGTTCAATGTGGAAGAGGTACTAGCCCAGGGGATTCTGTAAGCTGAGGGACCCAGGGGTCGGGGGCTTGGGGCCATCATAGCAGACATGAGAGTTAAGTTGCTTCTTGAGCTTTAGTTACAGAAACACTGGCATGCATGGGTGACAAACAGGCAGCTTTGTCCCAGGCCACATGGCAGGTCACAGAAAACACTGAGGAAAACCTGAGGCAAAAAGCAAAGAACTGGATCCCACTTCCATCCCCGCACACACCAGCTTGTATGGGTATCACACAAAACTTAAATCCCTGACCAGACACATCTGTGCCATATTCCTGTAGGAAATCTTTAGTTTTGTTATTCATGGAGGAAATTTTGTTAGCAATTCTGACCTAGGAGGCAATTCCAAAGAATCAGTAATTTTAATATCTAAATCATAGTCACACTTTCAGAAATTAAAAAAAAAAAAGATCATTTGCTTTGCTTGGCTTTGTTTTGTTATTTATTTATTTACTTAGGGCTTTAAGCTTGCCAGGCAGGCACTCAACCACTTCAGCCACACCCCCAAAGCCCATCTTGTTTGGTTTGATTTAGTTGGTTTGGGGGCGGTTCTGGAGGAATTGTTTTGTTTTTTCGTTTATTTTTTGTTTGTTTGTTGTTTTGAGATAGGGTCTTGCCATGTAGCCCAGGCTGGTCTCGAACTTATAATCCTCCCTCTTTGGTCTCCAGAGTACTGGGATTATGGCATGTTCTTCCAAGCCTGACAAAAGAGATATTTTTAAGACCATTACTTTTGTGTCACATTCTGGGTAGCCTAGTATCCTAGGTAAGTGGTTTTTAATTGAAAACAACAACTAATTTTTAGAAGAACAGGAATCATAATACACGTTTACTTTGCTAAGTAACATTTATTCTGAAACATCACTGCTGTTCTCATCCTTTCTAATTTCCATCTTATAATGGCCCTTGCTGGATCCCACCCTGTCATATAGGGATTCCTTGACTTACAATACAAGGGTGCATTACTAAAAAGAATACAAACCATACCCCAAGATTCCTCTTTAAATCAGACATAGCCACGTTTTTGAAACATCTAATTAAACTAAAACGCTCAGCATCTGTGTATTGTAAGCTGCTATGCTTGAATGTGTCACATAAATGCTACAGAATACTGATTCATGGTGCGTGGGGGACCTCACATGTTGAAGGCTGTCACAAATTTCATGATCTTTGAGAACTACATTTCACATCTGGGCCTTCCAGTAAACCAAAAGCCATATGCAGTTTGTGGGCTCGTGCAGTGCCCACTGGCTCCATATCTCAGCGAGCTGATAAGGATGGCTCCCCTTTCCCCATGGCTGGAATATGTTGGGCCCAGCCACTAGCTCCCTCTGTCTGTTTGAGATTCTAGAGCAGGAGGAACTGGTACATTCTGTTAACTGCTTGCTCCCTATCCCTGTCCTCACTCTCATGGTGTTCTAGGGTTAGCTCTCCTCCCATGAAATACTTGCTCGACCCCAGTGGCCACAACTAGCAGAAGTCAGGCAAGAAGCCCAGCCAACTTGGGAGCTAAGGAATGTGCCCGTGAGCTCACAAAGCACAGGCAGTTGTGGGTCTTGGTCTCTCTCACAGAAGTTGGACATCCATGACAAGAGGATGTGGGGAACCCAAGAGGAGGAGGGAAAGGGCACCTCAGAGCTCTGGGCAGAAACACCATCATTTACATCCCTAGTGCTGTAAGGAAACTGAGTGAAAACCAAGTTGATCTTCACAGTCCTGTTAGCCTCTTCTCAGTAGACAATCCAACCCAAAACTGTACCACCAAAGTGTGAAAAGTTGCCTCCAAATGGAAGCAAAACTAAGTTAACTGTGTTTGAAACAAACAAAACAAAAACAGCACCTTGGTTCCTATCACCCTTGTCAGACACATGCGCACACATGGCTTCAATAGCAGAGAGCAACTTTAAACAAAAACAAAATTCACAATATGAAAGGAATGCAAAGGTCCTCCAAAGTAATCCCCAACCCAAATACCTTCCGTGTCCTCTCAGCGTCTCTGTAAACCTTTCAGGATAGGTTAAACCCTTGATATCAGTAAGGCTTTCTTGCATGCGCCTATTAACATTTCCAGAGACTACAACATCAGCATCGATGGTATAGAACATGTCAAGTTCTAAAAATACACAATGACTTTACAATACACTGTCCCTGTGCCGAAGAAGGAAGGAGAAGGATAGAGTCCAACGACGTTAATGAAATGAAGCCTGTTCTTGGTTGTCTCTGCGCTGAGGACATCAGGAAGGCTTCTCGACAAGCAAGTGGATCCACACAGGAGGACACAAGATGAAAACGGGCTTGTTCATTGTGTCACAGTGCCTTTTTAGCTACTCAAAGAGGCTAGCTACCATGGGTGTGTGTGTGTGTGTGTTTGTCTGATAGAAAGAGAGATTGTGGGGGGGGGTTTGTTGTCCTACAAATCCACTAACTGTGACATGCACACTGTAGGAAGGCATGCTTGCAATGAGTGAAACAGGATTAAGTCCTCGATTTTCTGATTGTTCCCCCTGCTTCTGGTAGAAGATGGACCTTTCACATCACCGCTGTAACAATTTTTATGTGTTTCACATCCCACCAAAT